GTCGTGCTAATTCACTCGCCTGTCTCCACAAGTTGCTACACGTGTTCTCCTGACGCCCTATCCCCCCCATACCAGATGGCGACTAAGTCGTGTTGCCACTCAACAACATGGTTCTAACGCACAACATTGCCCGGCCAAGCACTATAGTCCACATATCATTGAACCATCTATTAGTTCGTGGGCATCGTTTGTAGTCTTGGTAAAGGAGAAAGACAACTCGTGGGGCTTCTGCGTCGACTACCGTCACCTCAACCGGATAACAAAAAAAGATGTGTATACACTGCCCCGCGTAGATGATACCCTTGACTGCCTTCATAGATCTAACTATTTTTCTTCAATTTATCTTCATTCAGGCTATTGGCAGATGAGCTTTGAGATGGACCGGGAAAAAATTGCTTTTGTCACACTAGATGGTTTTTACAGACGAATGTCATTAATTCGAACACGCTTAGTTCGATCTTTCGGTTGATTCAAACTCACGCTGAGGTCCCGTCAAAGCTGTGTGTATTCCAATGGGCAAAAAGGCCCTGTAATACGAACGCGCAAGCACACCAGGGTTAATTCCTACATACCGCACTCCCAAAATCTCTCAGCACCACACCCGATCCCGCAAAAGAAAAAAAGAGGGAAAAAAAAAAGCTGTCATGGAGTGTTGGGTCTCTCTTAGATGCCAATGTGCTTTTTTCCGCTAGGAGATGCTCCTCCCTTTTCGTCACCAGCTGGCCACGCTGCAGTCGCAGCGCAGAGGGTAGTAGTGGAGATGCAGTCATCGTTGTCGTCTTTAGAGAGTGTCGGCGCTGGACATTGCCGCGCGCAGCTTCTCTTGCCAGGAAAATGATGAAAACGAAGTAGAAATGCTTTGGAAACTTCATGCGAAATTGTTTTACTCGCTGCAAAGCAAACGTGTGTAGAGGCGCATCACCGAATACTTCAATTAATGACGGATGTCCTGCGATTTGTGAATAAATGTAAGTCGTCTGAAACTTCCCCCTCGTGTGTTAGCTCAATGCGCTTGCGTCACTGCATGGTGAGCCCTCCGTTCATTTAGCTTTCATTAATTCAAACTTCTTTAATTCAAACAAATTTTCGGACCACTTCAAGTTCAAATTATCAAGATTCGACTGTACCAGATCAAAGTCATGCCCTTCGGATTGTGCAATGCACCAGCTACATTTGAGCGCATGATGACTCCCTTTTGCGTGTCTTAAAGTGGTCAACGTGCCTCTGCTACCTCAATGATGTACAGTCAAATCTCGTCAGTGCGTACCCGCTTAAAGCATACTAACCGTGAAAACATGGCTGTGACAAATCCCCGACCGAGTCTTATAGAGACTAATGCATTCGCGGACCGCTTAAGCCATACTGTTCGGCCTATGCCTACCATTTAGTGGGTACTAACTGTGTACAGCAATAACATTTTGCGCGACAGAAGTTTACTGCTCCGCTGAATTTTGCAGACGCAACAATGTGCCGTGGATGGTTTTCCATCATGTTTTGATAAGTGCGGAGATCTGCCGATGAGTTATTTCGACTTCCGCGTGAGTGCGACGATGATATTGTGAGTAATCATTGGGGAAAAAACGAAGGCTAGGTGGCAACCAGCAACAAACGCAGTGGTATGACTTATCGCCGGCTAAAAGCCTTATCACAGTGAACATCCTCTGTTATCTGCTCAGGCATGTGCGTGGCGTACCGTCACTTTAGGCCTACTGCACACTTTTAGTAGGCAACTACTGGAAGGCACTAGGCTGCTGATCGCTGCCACTTCGTTTTGCGGGACCATGTTCAAGCACACATCGCCTTACAAAAACGCAAGCAGCTCGCTGTCGCGGAGTGTAACGTTACAGATCGCGGGCACTGAGAAACCTGCTATATTAGACACTTTTAGTTGGGCATACAGGGAAGATGCGTATGCTGTAAGTGAAGCATGCAACGACATTTTTAGTTTAACGTACCTTGATGCGTTTCACTCAACCAGATAAGTCGTATTCGAGATGCAAGGGTGTCCATTTTGGTACTGTGCCACGCTGCGTATCCCGGATCCCGCGGCAGTTTCGAAATGCTCATCGGTGTCGCCACTGTGTGCTATCGAGCGTTTGTGCAAGGGTCGGAAACTTTTCTGCACTTTGGCAAAAAGAAAGAAATGGCTTTGCGGTGGGCACTTTAGGCAATATTTCATGTGGTACAGTGAAATCTCTGTAGAACGAACCCTAGAATAACGAACCTTTCAGAATAACGAACTTTTAAAAAATCCCACGCCGACTGCTAATAGTTTTAATGTAAAATTATTTTACTACCACGTAATTCAGAACACCAAATGTTTCAGGATAATGAGCGCTAATTTAGTCCTGCGTTATATTAACAACGCCTCAGTACTACGAATTCATGTTCTGAGATCTTTCACGACCACCGTAGCAGTACGCGAACAGACGACGCAGCGAACGGATCCCTTCGTTTTCGAAAGACGCGCGACGGTGCAGAGGAGGGGAAAAAATGAAACAACTTCCTTTTCTTTCTTTTTGTTGAAACGCCGACGCTGCAGGTTTACAAGCGCTTAGTCCTTGACTAAGCGCTTGTAAACCTGCAAGAGCAACACGGGAGGGCAAGGTCAGCGAGGCAGAGTGGGAGTTACAGAGCAGAAAGCATGGGCGTGGAAAACATGAGACAGCGAGGGAGCAGAAAATGAAGCGCGAGAAATTTTCTTTTTTAGCTGTTTCTTTTCTTCGAAAAAGGTGATGACAGCCATGGTAGTAAACACTGACCTCCATATCAGTGGTAGTAAACAGGTGTTCTGTGTGACAGGCGTGACGCTTTGGGTTTGTCTTATCTATGTCACTTGTACATGTGCTCTAGGAGGCCTTGTCAGTAGTGTTCATCTCTTTTCGGTGATCATTTATTGCGTCCACAGAGCAAGTTGTCCAAAGTTCATCTCTGCTTGCCACGAAAAAGCGGAAGCAGTTTTCGCTAAGGGAAAAAGTGGATCGCGCTACCGGACGAGCTGGAGGCCTTCACGCTGCAAAGTTAGTGCTGGACACGTAAAAAAAAATATCGCACTCTTGTTTAAGTAAACGTGCATTGTTTAGTGTTCACTTGTACATTTGTTTTTTCTCGTGAAAAACGAGAAAAAGTTAAGTCGTTTTGGTCAGCGGAAAATAAGTATTTATGGTTAATTTTTGGGAGGAGGAGGAGGTAAAACTTTATTAGACCAAGGGATTTGGGCACTTACGTCCCAGGGTCCCCGCACGACCCCACTGCGCTATGCGTTCATGAGTTCATGCAGTTTTTTGGCTTTCACTGTAATGACCCTTCAAGATAATGAACAAATAGCCATGGACCCCCGAAGTTCGTTATACCGAGATTTCTCTGTACTGAGTTTCTTCCTTTGGTGGCGGTGATGGTGCATGCCAGGAGATGCGAATGTGTAGCTAGTGTTTAATGCGTCGTACACTTAGTGCGAAGTTACGCCGTCGTCTTTGGCAGGTATGTATTAAGGGATTTCACTGTAATCGTGTTTTCCCCATTATTTGAACGTCACCTGGAATGCCTCAAAACTGTCCTCTCTGTGTTTCACTCTGCTCCCTTCTGCTGAATTCATCTAAATGCTATATCTCATAAATGCTATAGGAATCCAACCTGATCCAGAGAAAGTTCGTGCTGTGCGAGATTTTCTTATACCTACGCTGACAAAAGGTGTCTGCAGTTTCATGGGCTTATGTTCCTATTTTCGTCGCTTTGTAAAGAAATATGCCGATATCGCTCGTCCTCTGATCGACCTTCTGAAATAGGATACCTCTTTTTTTTGGGGGGGGGCACCGCATTAAGAGCACGCCTTTTCTACCCTTACTGAGCGAGCTTTCTCATGCTCTCTGCCGCAACAATATTAAGAGGTTGATATTAAGAATAAGCAATCTTGGTTTTTTTTTTTCATAATTTAAAGCTTATTTATTGAGAGTTTCTTGTTACGTTGCATTACAAACAAATTACATTATTTTTTTGGAGCAACAGTATTGTGGACATTACTCAGAGCTTTCTGAGGATGTGTTTTTCCTATAATAAAACCAGACAATGGAAGCAAAGAATGAGAATAAGCCTCTGTCTTGTCGAAACTTGTCAGCATTTGAAAACCAAAAGCAGTTTTAGTAAACCAGATTTGTGGTTGTAATCAAGGTTAATGTTGGTGGTCTAGTCAAGCCTTGCTCTAAAACAAAGAGTGACCAGATTACTCTAAAGCTCAGAGATGATACCGAAATCAGTTATCACTGAACAACTTGCAATATTGTCAGGTACAAGGTTGGTGGCATTCACGCTGGTAGTGGTAAACTTCAGTTTATTTTAGCAATATTTTTCAGCAATTATGTTAAAACATAATGTGCTAATGCCACACTCCTTTGCCATGTTTTTGTATCGCCGCATTGCAAGTGTGAGTGCTGCCTTGCACAAACCGCAAAATCTTAGAACCTTTTTATGTGATCACATGCACAACACGAACATTACAGATTGTTCTGGAACATATGTGGTTGCTAGCGATAGCGCAGGAATATTTGGCAGCATATCTATAAATGCCGATGCTCATCACCACTTGTCAGTTGGTCCACGGCCGACGCTCCGTTCGCTGCTATCAGTGCCAGTGTAACTTGACATTACGGTTACTGGCCATAAGTTCGGCTAAGTAAAGTATCATTTCGAACAAGCCGTCCAAAAGTTTTTACCACAAAGATGACGTTTATAGTAGAGAGCACACAAGGGTCACTTCTGTGACACTTGTTAGTTCGTCTTCGTCCAGTGTATAACTGTGAGTACATTTTGTGCATCCTTTGTGTTCTTCTTGTGTGTCCTTTGTGCGTGAGCAGTGTGTTGCATGCTTCAGTCTGTTTGCCATTCTTCACGTGATATTCTAGTATCTTGCCTTCACATTCAGACCTTGAAGCGAATTGGCCCCTTTTTGAGGCTGGTGTATTACTAAAGGTCCCACTTGAAATGACATGTCCTGCCCCCACCAGATCCACACTGTGGTGAGTGGAGCCCTGGACCGGCTGCACTACGAGAAGGACCCCTGTGTCAAGTACGACGTGAACCGCAAGCTTTGGATCTACCTGCATAGATGCCGCACCGAGGAGGAATTTGGTGAGCCTTGTGACACAGCTGCGCATATTGCACATTTTTCATACGTTTCTGTTTTCTTGCGCCAAGCAAGAATATTTATACCAGCCTCAACTTCGGTGGAAAAAAAGGCAGAGTTGACTACATGATTTTTCGAGCAGCGCCAGGAGTACTTAGAAAATAAAATGTGCACAAGCACGTTTTTTTACTTTGCACTTTTCTGGTGACAAAGGCTCCCATGGTGCTGCCATTATCTTCTCTGGACTGTTCTAAATATGGTAAATATGTGTGACCCTGCGAAAATGCACTACAGTGCATCGAGCATGCTGCTTCTTCTAGCTATAGGCTGTGTGTTCTGGAGCCATTGTTGCTTAGCGAAAACCACTAAGTTGGCCACACTTGCCAACTGGAATGCATAGCAGGGTTGACTTGGTTGACTGTCTGGTTCTTTTTTGTGCATAAAGCGTTCCTCTGGTCACTGCAGTTTTTATGTCGACACTGCTGCATGTGGTCACTTATGCACCCGCATTTGCTGTGAGCGAGTACCTCGATGCATAAACATAGAGACATAACCCATGCATGCGACACGTCTGCTGTATGCTGTGGCGCGTGGGTTTTCAAACTGAGTTCTGTGAGCGATAGAACGCGTGCAACCCGCTCCCAGTTTTTTGAAAGAAATATACTTCTGTAGTGCGCAGAAAACGTTTTCAAAAGGAAGATAGAGAGCACACTTACAACCAATTTTATCTGTGCAATTAAATTGGTTGTAAGTGTGCACTCTGTCTTATTTCTCGGCTCTATCTTCCTTCTGAAAATGTTCCCTGCGCACTAAAAAAGTATATTTCTTTCGAAAGTGCAATACCAACCATCCCAAGTGGCCACTTTTTTGCCGCTCCCAGTTTACCTCCAATAGCAAGTATTTGTATAGATTAGCGAGTTTATTTTGCATTTGAAAAATCCATTGCATAGCAAATCCGCACATCGGTGTCCACAGATATTGAGAGATCCATTTAGTAGCAGCACTATATAACTTGCACGATTGGCGAAACCCATGGTGACAGATCGCACGCTCAAGCCAGTTTAATACTCTTTATTCTGGCATGTTACGGTTACATGCCACCGAGATCAGGGAAAAGGAAACAGACGTAACTGTTTCCTGACTTGACCGATATCCCGGCACGTGAACAAAACAAAACAAAAACAAGGACAGCCGTGAGGTAAGCGAAAATATCCAGTGCAGAACAATTTAAAAACATCACTGTAAAAAAATCAAAATCTCTATAGAGCAGACAATATATGTAACTATACCCTTGAAATACAGTGGAGTACAATTAGAGAACAAATGTAGACATTGGAAGTGGTAAAATACAAATGCACGTACGTAAACATCAAGAAAATAAGCACTCCATCCTGGACCAAAGAGCACTCTTACGTTAGTTTTAAAATAATATACAGATCTCCTTATCTGTGATAGCTCAACAACAGAAGGAAAACTGTTACATATGTCTATTATTTGTTGGTCAAGTGATTGCGTACCAAAATTTGTCTTAGATCTAGTTGAAGCAAGCGACGTCCTTCACAAGTTATATCCGATGCCCTGAGTTAGATACATATTGCTGAATGAAGCAAAATCTTGTTTGATGTGGTTATAAATAAAAACCATCAGTTAAAGTTCGTAGCATTCACTGAAGCGTAATACATGAAAAACAGAAAATAAATTGCTATGGCTATCTGGTCTTCTTGCAATAGTTTCAATGCTTTCTGTTGCATCTCAATAATTTTTTTCTGCGTCAGTCTTGTTACATGTGCCCCAAACTAAGTTGCAATATGTGAGCTGCGAATGAACAAGGGAAAAGTATAGTTGCTTTGCCCCCGAATGTGGAAGCAGATGGTTAATACTGCTTAGAACACCTGTAGATCGAGCCATTTTCATTTTTGCATGACTGACGTGATCAGGCCAGCCCAAGTCATTGCGGAAATGTACGCCCAGAAACTACGATTGCATGCTATTTCTGAATTACGAAAACAGAGTTTTGGGTTGTGGTTTATTGCTTTGTTTTTAGCATGGGGATTAGAATGAAATTGTTTTTTTTTTTTTTTCCGTTTAGTCTCAGTTTATTTACTCTAAGCCATGCCTCTAATTTTTCGAGCCAGCTATTCGCTCTCTGCTCAAGTTCTTGTAGGCTGGAGCCCGAAAAAAAGATGTTAGTGTCGTCTGCATATAGGATAATGTTCGAAGATGAATGAATGTTTACATCATTTATGTATATAGTAAGTAGAAGGGGTCCTAATATTGATCCCTGAGGTACACCATATTTGATTGTTCGGTAGTTAGAGTGAGTGTCATTATGTAGCTTTGTGTATTGTTGTTGTCCAATCAAGTAGCTTTCCATAAGACTTTTAGCAATTCCACGAATTCCATAAACTCCTAGTTTTTCTAAAAGTATATCATGTTGAACAAAATCGAACGCTTTGCTGAGGTCAAGAAATAGACCAATAGGAAATTGTTTCATTTCAATGTTTCGAATTAAAACATTTCATTTCATTTCATTTTCATTCTTTAAAGACCCCATTGAAGGGGTATTACATAAGGGGTGGGTACATACATGAAAAACAAAAGCCATGTTTTAATACATTGTAAACTGATCTGTTAAACTGATCTTGAACATTGTAAACTGATCTGGCCAGCACTGTTGATCCCCACAATATCAACAGTGCTGGCCTTTGATATAAAAGATACAGAACAGGCCAACGTGGGCAGTATTAATAACGCGTGGTTGCGCATGCCGACAGGTATTATCACCTAGTACCATTCGCTTATCACCATACACAAGCACTTTACGAGGTAGTTAGCGTGACAAGTTTTTGATGGTGCAAAATAGATAGGCAATGCAGTGCACTTTTATTGTCTGTTAAAAGCTTGCAGTACACTTGATGCTATGTCATTCGTGCAGCTAGAGAAGCAGACATACAAAACTAAACTCTGTGCTATGCTCAATTATGTCACAGTTCTTAAGCAAACGCCCAGTGTTACGTAACTGCAATTACACCTTTTTAAATTTTTTGAGTGTGGTGTGTTTTTCTTTGTCAAGTGTTTCCGGTGAACATTTTTTCAAAACCTTTTTCTTTAATATTATTTCATATGTTTGTCTCATGGGCTAGATAGGTCACTTGGTGTGTAAACAGGTAGTGTAGTTTATACCTGGCAATAATCTGCAGAAAGACTTACTTCAAAGTCTGTTTCATTGTCAAGGCAATCGAAATATGCACTTGTGCCCCCCATGTTGCGAAAATTTTGTTTTTTCGAGCTTCCAGGACTACATACCGTAATTTCCGGCGCATAAGACGTGGTTCTTTCCCAAATTTTTCGGAGGTGCATCGTATACAATGGTGCATCTTGTACATACTTTTTTTTAGTAGTTCTTTTGGAAGGAACTTGCGTTGATACTGATTAGCCTTTTTTATAAACAACTAGAGCAATACGATGCAAATAATGCATCATAACTATAAGAATGAAGACTCAACGTGCCGATACTACAATTCCAGAACAAAGACAAAAAACACATGATGTCGCCGTGCAAGTTTTCAGCTCACGGAAGCTGCACGAGTTCCGGAGGCTGTACTTGGTGAAATCGGCGTAAAATGGCAATAGGTGCACACCAATCCAACCCAATCTAAGTTCGGCTCGGCTTCGGCCGTTTTTGCATGCTGTTGTTCAGCAAGTCGGGCCAGTCGCCATTTGCAATCTTACTCATTTGGCTGGTCTGCGCCTTTCTTATTTTCTCCTACAGTATGCCAGCTACGCATAAAAGTTACATGGCAAAGTTTGAGCTTACCTCTGTGAAGTATGCTGAGGAGTACGGGAACCGGGTAGCGGGCCGCCATTTCGACGTCATCAAAAAGATGATCTGTTCATGGCGACAGTCTACTGGCAAGCTTCTGGCCATGAGGAGCGACAAGAAAGCTGACCGCGGCAAGAAAGCACGATGGCCATTCCGTGAGGGACGTCTGCACACATGAAAACTGGAGCAGCGTGGCCAAGGTAGAGCAATGTCGACAGTGCAGCTGTGTCTCAATGCGCAGGCGCTAGCGAAGAAGATGGGTGCTGTTGACTTCTTTGGCGGGCCATCCTGGTGCTTTAGATTTATGCGCAACAAAGCGCATAAATTTGTGCTTGGCAAAGCGCTGGCGATAAGGGCCCACACAAGCATGTGCCAAAATCTGCTAGCTGATTATAAGGAAAAGCTTTAGAGGTTTCAGGCTTCCATAAAGAAAGCCATTGAAGATGATGGCATAAGCGACAGCCACATAATAAATATGGACGAGGTGCCACAAACGTTTGACATCCCAATGGAGAGGAGTGTGGCACCGAAAGATAACAAAGTCATCATTATCAAGACTATTGGCCATGAAAAAGCGAACTTCATGGTTGCGCTCAGGTGTTGCGCCGACGGGCAAAGTCTTCCGCCAACGCTAATATTTAGGCGGAAAACAATGCAGAAAGAGGCCTTCCCATCTGGCATCATCATAGAAACGAATGTGAAAGGCTGGATTCACAAAGAAATGATGGGCAAATGGCTTGAGAAATGCTTTTCTAATGCCATATTTGGTCGGCTGTTTTCGAACGCATTGGAGCACTCTGAAAAGTAGCTGCGCCTTCACTATGTAGAATTCGAGCTTTTAGACTAACTTCGGTTGGTTCTTTCAGAGCGTCAGCCTCTGACTCGGAGCGCTCCCGACCGCTCTGAAGGCCAAACCTCATAAGCGCGAAAATGCACGCGACAGCGACAAGCGACGCGACGTAGATCGGCTTCGTGCGATCAGTCGCTAGCGCAGGCAAACCTCATTCACGCGACGGCTTCGGCGAGCGAACTCCACTGTTGTTGGCATGAGGCCGTCTACTCACACCAAGAAAACCGCGTAGCGAGCGGTATGCAATTTAAAAATAAGATGTATTGTTGTGTAATGAAACAGAAAGTGTTTATTATTGCCTTGCAGCACTTTTTTATATGCACATGCATAATAAACATTGCGTTATTTCTTGTTGCGCATACGTCACTCGGGCAGGGTCACGTGCACCTATGTAGTCTTTGTTTTTTCTGGTATTTCGCTATTGGCTGCTTGAGCCCAGCACTTCCGGGCGATAAGCGACGGTTTCCAAATCTGGAGAACCGAGCAATCGCGCGAAAACGAGCACGCAACATGTCGCGCGAACGCCCTGTTTCGTCGCTCATAGCGTCGCTCGTCGCTGTCGCGTGCATTTTCGCGCTTATGAGGTTTGGCCCTGAAGTGAGAGCCTGGCGCGATCTGACCAGGAGGATAGATCATGTGACACAAGCCAGCCAATTACGTGGCTGCCTACTGGTGAATGAGGTGAGGAGCGCGAGCATGCACTTAAGAAGGGGGTATCACAGGGAGTGCAACACTTAGTGTATGTGCATTGTTAATAACGTTATTGCACGCGTGTGGGGCAAATTCACATCTATGAAGCCATAAATGCATCTTGTCAATAATGACATGGCTAGTGAAGGCGGAAGATACGTCTATGCTGTCGTTACAGCAGCTCACAGACAGCTTCGTGATTTGCCTTTAAGACAGCAGCTCAAACGAAAACGATCGCCAGATTTGTGTGCTGAGCTCAGAAGGCTTTCGCTACATCCAGACATGTCAGAGAGAGAAAGAGTATAACAAAGGCTCGACATGTCGGAGATTTCCTCTGAACTGATCGGCACCATTTGTTGACTTGGCACAGCAATGTTTACCAGGCAGCTTCTCGCGTTGGCTGCTTGGTGTTGCTACAGGCGTGCTGCTCTAAGCGCTCTGAGATCTCGATTGTATTCGGTTGGTACGCTGCCTCTCGTGCTCCGATGGCGAGCTGCCTCTGCATCTGGCGACGCTGAGCCAGAGGACCAGAGCTGCCAACCGAATACGTCATGAGCGACTGGATGGTTTCTTTCATGCAAACAAAGGGCTCCTGGTTTTGGATAGTATGCGGGCGCATATAACGGAGCTGTCATTAAAATGCATCAAGGCAAAGAACTGGACCACTGCCATTATTCCAAGCGGAACGACGAAAATTCTTCAGCCGCTGGACATTTCAGTGAACCGCAGTTTAAAGGCTATCTTGCGGTGCCTGTGGGAGCCCTTCGATGTCCGACGGCGAGCATAGCTACACTGTGACCGGACGCGTGAGGCATGCTTCATTTTTGTAAAGTCGGGAGGTGGGTTCCCGAAGCTTGATGCGCAGTGTCACAGGCCACCATAATTGCGGGGTTCCACGAACAGGCCTGCTAGCATCCTCGGCCCCTGACCTCGATGATGGCAGCAGCAGCAGCGATTCTGAAGACGAAGCAGAGGAGGTCCCAGTGTGGCTGCCGCCAGAGCTCGCCGAGCTATTCCAAAGCACATCGGAAGAGAAGGACTTTGAGGGCATCGAAGATTAATGTGTTTTTTCCTGCAGTCATGTGGGATGTTTCAGTGGGTGGGAATTTTTTCTCTCGAGTTTAGTGTTGTATAAGTTTATTTACAGACTAGCGCTCAGAAACGTAAGTACAGCATTTTACAATGCTTGCTCGGCCGCACGTTATGAAGTTTCTTTGCGGAAAGCAAGTAATTGCAGGTGCGTTTTATATATCAATTTTTGCATGGAAACTTGTGAAAAGGGGGGGGGGGGGGGGGGGGGGGAGGCATCTTATACAAAGGAGCGTCTTATACACCGGGAAATATCGTAATAAATGCTGATAACTGCTCCCATTACAGTCTCACTCTTGTGCATGCAGTTTCAGCCTCATTCTTAGTGAGCTATGCTTTGCAGAAAAAATCCACCAGGCACAGGCGGCCGCAGCCAAAGCCAAGAAGGCTATCCAGAAGAACAAGCTACCCCGCCTGGTGAGCATCCTGTGTTGTGAGGGTTCTATTGAGGGGGCCACCACTGTGTAGTATACCGTAACATGTAAGGGCTAAACTGCACAATAATCCACATTACAGCAACATGACAAGCAGCATAAGTGGCCATGACCCGACGGACCGCTTTGTCGATCACTTGGTTTTGCAAACCTAGATACTCTCACTCTTCACCAAGACATTGTGACACCAATTCGAAGAAACTGAAACATGATGAATGTAGCACTATTGGCAATACACAGAAATAACAAACAAATAATTGAAGGTTCATGCACATTGGGAGAAAATGTAATAATTTCAGACATAATTTTTTTAGCTTTGTACAACAAGACATGTGATTTCGCTTTATTCTACTTGCCACTGGTACTGCACCAAGTTGCGTACCAATGTTTCTAGAAACATTTCAGTTTCACTGCCTCGCTTGAGAGCTGTCACGAACGGCTCACAAGTTAACTTAAGAAGACACTGAAGCCAAGCTTAGTTTTTCACTTAAGCAAACGTTAGGCAATCAATGAAACACTCGGTGACTATGCTTAATTTTTAGGCTCCAACATGTTTTTGTACTTCTAGTATAGTTGTGTCCTAGGCTGACCATAAACATTTAAAGGGGCCCTGCAACACTTTTTGAGCACGTTCAGAAAACGCTGCCGATTGGTAGTAGAGCCTACCGACAACACGCAAGCCAAATATTATAGCGCAGCATGCGGCTTGGAAAATCGCTTTCTTTTCTCTCGACAAATCACAGAATATGTCCAAAAATTGCACGTAGCAAGCCCATCTATCAGTCATTGGCTGATTTGAACATAATGTGTTCACTTGTTAAAGAGATTACCGCGGGAGGCCGCTACTTGTCCACACATACGCGGGCGAGCACACTGAAAAAGCCGCGCAATTGAAGAAAAGAAAAGAAAAAAAAAGTGCTAAAGGGCACGAGGCACACACATTTTTCTGTGGCCCTGCCATCTCTCTCTGCTTAACTTCCAGTGCTTTCATGAAAACGAGAAGAGAGAATGCAATTGCAGCATGTGGCAAAAGCCAGCAATGTTGTGCATGGCAACAGTGACGTTGAGTTTTCATTTTGAGGCGAGTAATTTGAAGTGTGCTAATGCGATTCGGACCACTAAAACGGTATTTTATTTCAAGAGAAGAAGAGAGAGATAAGTTTAATTGCAGAAAGACAGAGAGGTCAGTTTGAGCGATAGCTTGCTCTAGCCTGCTACTCTGCACTGGGGGAAGGGAAAGGGAAAAGAAAGATTAATGGATGATGATGGTGAGATAGAGAGGTGAGTATGTAGTGTTCTTTCTAGCTGAGACACATTTTATAGCCGCTCACATAGTCCAGTTGTTTCCAAAAAGGTTATAACTGCTCTTGTGACCGCAGTTGCATTGTTGGTGTCTGGCCAAGGGCCCAACATGGTCTCATCAGTTAATGATCTGCTGCGATATAGTTCAGTAGAAGAAATCAGTGTTTGTCGTTCACGTGCATATGCTGGGCAGACACAAAATATGTGCCTAAGTGTTTCTGGCACATCACAGTGTTCACAATTAGGACCGGTGTCACTGCGACCGATGATATGTGCGTAACGTCTGGTGTACGCCACACCAAGACGAATGCGGTGGATCATACTTGTGAGTTGCCGTTTCAATTTAGGGGGCATGCAGAACCTCATTTCCGGGTCCCATTTGTGAAGTCGCTGGTGTCGCCGTTCCGGTTTGGTTCAGTGCTGAAGTGTGTAGCTGCGCATCACGCAGCGAAGCAGGGCGTTCGTGTCGGCTCGGGAAAACGCAATGTGTACTTCAGGGGCACTGCTTAAGACATATTTAGCTTCAGCGTTTGCCTTTTCGTTTCCCATCACGCCGCAATGAGCGGGAATCCACTGGAAAGTGATAAGATGGCCATTTGTTGAAGCAACATGAATAAGTTCTGTGATTTCTATTGCCAAGCTGTAATACGGGCCTTGCTTCATGATGCAATTAATGGTTTGCAAAGCGGGTTTGGCATCACAGAAAATCGTCCAGGCTTGAGGTCGCTCTCCGGAAATAAATTTTATTGCCTCCTGGATAGCGACAAGCTCTGCGGCAGTTGATGTGGTTTTATGGTCCACTTTGAATCGTCGAGCGATATCCATGTCTAAGATGACAAAGGCTGCGACGGAGGTGTTTAGCCTGGTAGATCCGTCGGTGTACACGTGCAAAGAATCACTGTACGTTGTATAAATGTGATATAGAGTCACTTGTCTGAGGCCAACAGAAGAAATGAGCGACTTCTTCGTAATTCCAGGTATCGTAAAACAAACAGGTGGTTTAGACAGGACCCATGGAGGCACTGCAGGGGCATTTGGCGGGGAAAACCTTGATGGTATAATATTTTCATGCCGCAATATTACTCTTGAGAAACTGCAATCTGGGTGAGTGGCGGATAGTACTGACAGTGGGTGCTGTCTGTCTGTGTCTGCTCAGGTATCGGAGGTGAACTCTAAGTGGCTTGCAGAGCATGTATACACTGATGGGACAAGTCTGAGCCTCTGCGATTGTCCCATTTGTTGAAGTACAGCGTGGTAGACCCAAGCGTCTTCGTAAGCAGTGAGCTTGAACACTCTTTAGCGTCTTCACACAACTAGGTCTCATATTGGAGAGCACCGGCATGCTGTATCGAATGTATTCCACAAGTAGAGCATTGTACAATTGAAGTAGCGATGATTCTGATGGGTCCCATCTCGCTACTGCTATGTGGCGAAGAACGAGAGCAAAGCTCGTCCACGATAGATCTCTGTGTACGACAACCCCAAGGAACTTGTGGTGCGTTACAGCAGGTATCGCTGTCCCATTAATAAATATCAGGTATTGCGACATATGTTTGCACGTGAACGCAAGCACTGCGCATTCGTCGATTGAAATAGTGAGCCCCTGACGTCGTAGATATTTGTATGTGATCATCACTGCACGCTGTAGTCGAGCTCGCAATTGCGGACGAGTAGTTCCTGATGCCCATATGCATATGTCATCAGCACATGCACTGATCTTCACCGTACTGGGAAGTTCTGCAGCTAGGCCGATCATTGCGACATTGAATAGGATCGGGCTGAGAACTCCTCCTTGGGGAACACCACGATGAACCTTATATCGATAGATGTCTTCGTTATTTGTCGTCATGTAAATAGTGCGGTCCCTAAGGTAGCTAAAAATCCAAGCATACAGTCGTCCACCGATGTCGAAATCTTCCAGTGCATCTAGGATCGCATAATGCAGCACATTATCGTAAGCACCCTTAATGTCTCGGAAGACCGCCGCCACTAGTCTGCGTCGGCTTCTTTCCTCTTCAACGCTGGTGATCAAGTCGACCACACCATCAATGGCAGATCGGACTCTTCTGAAGCCGTTCATAAATGCAGGAAAGAAGTTTTTGCTCTCTAGAAGCCACTCTAATCTTGACAGTACCGTTCTTTCCATTACTTTCCCGACGCAGCTGGCTAGGGCGATTGGTCTGTAGGAGGAAAGTGCATGAGGACACTTCCCCGGTTTAAGCAATGCAATAATGTGACTGCATTTCTAATTAGCTGGGACTTCTCCTGACTCCCATGAGGTGTTATGAGATAACGGGATACGTCGTGCTTCTGTATCAAGATGGTTGAGTGCAGCATACGTGATTTCGTCAGGTCCTGGTGCCGATAATCGGCGGGAGGCAGAAATTGCAGCATCAAGCTCATGCATTGTAAAACGTACATCAAGGCGCTTGTCAGACAATGGAGGCGCAATGGTAGTAAGAGGCTCATTAGTGGCAAGACCATCAGTGGTGTCCACGATGAGGCTGCAGTGGTCACTGGCTATCTCAACTTCTGTTTGCCCCTGATGCAGAGCAACAGCTTGAAATGGTTGACATTGTTGGGGAGTTGTCTGCAAACTTCGTACCACCCGCAAGATCTTAGATAGAGGTTGCCTGGGGTCCAGAGATCTACAGAATTTTCTCCAACGTTGCCTGTCAATCTTGTCAAGATGCCGAAGGACATGTCGTTGAGCTCGACGACAGGCGGAAAGGTCTGAAGGCGACTTCGTTCGTCTGTATCGGCGTTCGTCACGGCGACGGATTGCACGAAGGGCCTCATATTGGGAGTCAACTGCTGATCTCTGCATCGGTAGGTTAACCTGTATGGTTGTGCCATGCAGTGAAGAAGCAATGATGTTCTTTACCTCGGATGGATCAGTCGTGTGCTCACAGCCAGACTTGACAGATGCCTTGAACAGTGTCCAGTCAGCTTGACGGATGCAGCATGTGTGCGTGCGGCGAAACCACCTGAACTGAACATAGGTTGGAAGGTGATCACTGCCGCGATTGTCCAAATCTGTGCACCAACATGCGGAAGACAGAAGGCTTCTGGAAATGAAACAGAGGTCGAGGCAGCTGCTGTAGGACGTGCCACGAACAAATGTAGGTGATCCGTCGTTGAGTACGCTTAGTCTATAGTTGCATATAAAATTGGCCGAATCCCTTTCGCGATAATTCGTTGTAGTGCTACCCCAGAGAGGATGATGTGCATTAAAATCGCCAATCACAATGTGGGGCCTTTGTGCTGCTTGAACAATGGTCCCCAGGGGGAAGCAGTTCATCTGTGCGCTTGGGTGTATGTATCCTCCTATTACTGAGAATGTCCGCTTTTTATGTGTTATAGTCAGGCTCACGTAATCATTGCTCGTATGCGACGCGACTTCATGTCTCAAGAACGTCAAATCACGGCGTATACGAACGAGAACTTTGCTCGTATGTTGATCACTGCGGGACCAAATCTGGATATATCCAGATATACGAAAAGTTGAAACCATATCTGTTTCACATATAACAATAACAGGAAATTGATGTTTAAAAACCCATTGTCTGAAGTCTGACAGACGGCCACGTAGGCCACGAGCATTCCATTGCATAACAAGCGACTGGCGCATGCGTTCTTCGAATATCAATGCCATGTTCACTTACTGAAAAACCAGTAGAA